AACGTTTGAAGAAGAGCTTCGTGTAACTTCCGTCGCTTTTCTTCTCGCCGTCGCATCTTCGAAGATCGCTCAGAGGTCAGAACTCGGCGGCGAAATCTCCGTCCGATTCATAATGTGTATAACTTTTCAGTTTTTTTTATTTTATTTTGCTCCCCAAAATTTACAAGTTTTTATGTTATCGGCCCGAAACTTTTTTGTGTGTTGAGTGAGTACACACTACACGTAAGTCAAATAAGTTATCTACTTACAATGACGTTGTGTCGTATTGATGAAGAGACGATAGTCGATTGATGTAAACCTTGAAGACTTCTAAAACGCATAGGAAAATAAAATAAAAGAATCATTTTTTTTGTTTGACCTTTTTTTTTTGGATAGAGACATAAAATAAAATAACGTTAGTTGAAATGTAGCTAAACTGTCGAAATTGACACAATGTTATGTTAAAGTGAAAGATATTAAATAATAGTAAAACATATCAAACGAAACTTGTATCTCGAATAGGTAGTGGGAGAGAGTAGACGAAAATTTTAGGAGGTTTCTAGTCAACAAACAAACTACGAGGTTTTATGTGTTTCATATTGAATTTATATACAAAACAAAAGATCTTTAAGCACAATTGAACAATGCACACGAAATCAATCCCTTTAAAAAACTAATACTATCCCAAGAAATATGAAAAAAAGAGCAAATCTAAAAGGGTTTTCACTTNTTTTTTTTTTTTGTTATAGCTGACGAATAGTAAAAACTCCACCGATTTTTCTTTTCTTAAATTGATCAAAATCATCTTCTTCAAACTTATCACAAGCCTTCTCTTCATCGATTCTTCCCATCACCACACAACTATAATTTCTCCGGAGATCCAACGGTCTTCCCATCACCGCCGTGATTTCTCCACCGCCACCGCCACGTGAGTAATCTGAGACAATCCGGCAGCGATCACGTGTCACCGTCGTGGTCGTGGAAGAATTTAGAGTGAAGCTACGAGGGAGAGTGGTGCTTTGTGGTTCGCAGATTTGGAAACTACCGGCCGGTAAACCGAAACCGCCGGAGCCACCACCACCGCGGATAAAACCGACGGAGCATGACGTCATGCTGCGTATGTATGCGTCACGTGCCCTGATCAAGAAACGAACCGGAGATTTCACCAATCTTGATAAGCTGCTCTGTTTCTTCATTTCTTTAGATTTCATGATTTTTTTAGTGAACTAAACAAACAAAAAAATTCCAAGATTGAAATGAAAACAGTTTATATAAGAGAGAAGAATGAAGATGATGCCGTCCATGGACTTCGTTATAAATGTTTTTTTTTTTTTTGAACAAGACTTCGTTATAAATGTTGGTAGTACCTTTCATTACGGAAAAAATATAAATGTATCTAGTTGTGATGTTTATGGTTTGGTGATACTTATGTTATTAAAAAAACTAAAAAAAAAAGAATTTAATTTACATTTTTTAAAGTCAAAATGAGGTTGAAGTTGCAATCTACGGCCGGCATTTTAAGAAATTTTGAAGCGATAATCTTGGACTGTTTGATATAATAAAC